GCGTAGGGAAATGTAGAGAGAAGGGAGAGGAAAGGGTTTTTAGAGAGAGAGATATGTAAAAGTGATCTGAAATATGAAATTCACGAACTGATATAACATGATCCGCTCGAGCATGGAAAGCCCCACTCGAGCGTCAAATACACTTTCTCAGTATTTTTGCAGACAGGTCAAACTTTTGGAACCAAACATTCTCTGCTCGAGCGGACAAGCAACTTCCAATGCATTTTTCATTTTTGCTTCAAGGGCGCTGCCCCTCAACCTCGTCAGGGCGTTGCCCTAGGACCCGCCAATGGGGGCTGCCCCTTGGACCCCCGCAAGCTGACCGAGCAGCTCGATCCCCGACATACTTAACGAAGTGGCAAAACTGGGATCGCTACAGCTCGACACCTGTAATCTGTCATTTTTATCAGTATTAACTGAAAGACTTAACACCTATCATCTACACCACCTTTCAAAACTTACCACCGTATTTACCCCAAAATCATTTCATGAAAACTTGTTTCCTAACACTCATTTCTAAATGCAAAGTTTTCAAATCAAATTTCAAAGTTCATTATTATCAAATGAATTGATATGCCAATGCAATGATTAATAATACAATGCAATATTTCTTCCACTTTCAATACTTCCACACAATATTCTTATTGTGATCAAAATTCTCATTTCTCATTTCAATATAATTTTTCAAGATGAATATAAATATTTTTATTCCAATTCATCCACGGGACAACAAAATTCTCACTCTTAGAGTAATCTCAACCATTTAGTTACTTCAAGACTATATCAACATTTTTAACAACAATTTCCAAAACTCCAACAATTCTCATATTCCATGAAAACCATCATTTATATGTAAACAAATAAACAAATTTTCAAACATCATTTATTTTGGCACACAAAATAAATATAACAACATTTTCAAAGATTGTCAACATCTTTCTTAAAAACCCCAAATTTCTAGGTTTTCTCACCAAAACCACTCATCTTCATTTATTGAAAAGAAAGTCACCAAAAACATCTCTCTTCAATCTTCATAGTTCAAAACCCTCAATTTCTATTTTAAAAGGAACAATAAAGCAAACTCACTTTAAAAAAAAATCTCTCATCTTCTTGAATTAATAATCAATTTTCAAAATAAATTAAAGGATGATTTTGAAAATCATCTAGATCTTGCAAAAACATATGTATAACTCAAAGGAAATTCCTATTTATTAAATATTACCATTTCCATCATACTATGTCAAAAGTTATGGTATAATCTTAATAACACATTTTTAACCATAACGGACATAACCTTTTAACCAAAACTAATTTAATCCACTAAATTAGTAAGTTTATTATATTCGAAAAATTTCAAATTAATAATGCCAAACCTAACTTCACATGCCTCATCCCTCAAATATAACTATATTTCAACATAACCATTTTTCATGCCAAGCTATTTAAAGAGGTAATATTTTTACCAAATTCTCTACCAATAACAATTTCACAACTTTTTCTAAATTTACTTAATCAACATGATATTTACATCAAAAATTATAAAATATGCCAAATAGTAACATTTACAAGGTTATGAGTTTGAAAGTCCACATTTCACATTTTTTTTTTTTTTATAAAAATGAACACAACTTAATCATCAACATATCATCTTTTATAAAATATCATAAATATAACACTTTTAGAGTTTTTAATCCCAAAATAACTCTATAATTCCTACTTAAGCATTTACTCCATATTCTTCAACATTAATTTATTTTTCTCAAAAATAAATTCCAAATCAAAGATAAAAAAAAAATTCAACTTTATATTTCTCAAAATAAATCATCTATTCATAATATGATGTAGAAACAATCCATACAACTATTAAATTTTATTTTCGGATTTCTTTGCAAAATTATCAACACAAAATGATTTTTTTTTTCCAAATCAATCTCAAAATGCCAACATTCTTAACATTTTAACATAAATTTTCTTCCAAAAATTACTAAACAAAAATTTGAATATATATATATATATATATATATGATACCTCTTATAATGATATATTTTTATTCAAATAATTCTAGCATAGGTGTAATGTAAAAATATGAAGAAAGTTCCTACCTTAAATATTGAAGAAGAGCAGATCTGGAAGGCAAATCTTGCCCAATCATGAATCCGAGACTACCATTACGAAGATCACGACGAGTACTTCGACTTTCATTTACAACACTTTTGCAAAATCTCACTCTAAAGACTCTCATTTCAAATTCAAAGATTGAGTATCAATGGAGAAATAAAGAGAGAGAGAGAGAGAGAGAGACGTTGAGAGAAAGAGAGAGCTAAGCTCTTTGCTCAGCAAAAGAAAAGAGAAAATGAAGAAGGAAAAAGGGAAAGGAGGGGGTGTGGGGGACAACCCCATGTGACTTGTCTTCTCAATGCTTGATTTTTTTTTTTTAAAAAAAAAATATAATATAACTTTTGTAATAATACCTCTAAATTTTATAATATAAATTATAAAATAATATAATTTTTCTCACTACAAAATATAATATTTTTATACACCACAAAATATAATATTTTACTCACTATGAAATATACACATATTTCATTCACTATAAAAATATATAATTTTTCACCATATTGTATACACCATAAAATTAACTATCAAATATTTATTATAATCCTATATAATAAATAATAACAACTCTCAAAGTGGTTATTACCAATCACATAATTAAAAGGGACTTAACAGTTAAACATGTGTCATTAAACAAACTCAAATTAAATTGAATCTAAATTATGTGTCTCGCTCATATATCCAACATGGTTCAGTTATATACCAAAATAAACCCAACAAATTTATCCAAATCATGATCTAAACATTAAAAATTAAATAACAAAATTTTGCTATAAATTAAATTGAACATCAATCAGTCCGTGAATTTTTATAAAATAAATACTCATCATTTAATTCTGAAATTTTTATCCAACGTGCTAGCCTCATATAGAAACAACATATAAAAATTTCATAATTTTTTGAGATCGGAAACTATTTTTAAAAAATACAAAATTAAACTATTTTCGCACAGAATTTACACATAACTCAAATTCAAAAATTTGCTCAATTAAATTATGCACTGGCTATTTAAAAAAAAAATTGGATCATTACACTGACGTGGAAAAAAATAAGCCTGTATAATGTGTCAACTAAGTATGGGAAAAATACTACTTTTAGAAAAAGAATATATTATTTTCAATTTTTGTAAGGTTTAAACAAATAATCTTCAATATTGATCAAATTGAAAAGTAAGTTTTGAAACTGCAAAATGTTACAGTTTCAAAGCATGATTCTATTAAGCATTTATCCTTATTAATCAAACTGGAAAACATGTTATGAAACTTCAAAATTTTACAGTTCTAAAGAATGTTATGAAACTGTAAAATTTTACAGTTTTAAACATGATTAATGTCAATACCAAAAAAACTGAAACTGTAAAATTTACAGTTTTCATCACCTATAACTAAAACTTAAAAATAACTTGTTCAAAACTTGAATTTTTTTCTATTAAAACAGAAAAATAGAAGTGTGTACAGAGAAAATGTAGAAAAATTGAGAAATCGAAAGAGAGAAACAGATATAGAGAGAATATTGTACTCTGCCAACTATTTTTAATTTAGACCTAGTCAGAACTAATATAGATTTACTCAGATCTAATGTAGATTTGAGTAGATCTACTCATTTTCTTTGCCGGAAACACGTCTCTTTCGTCGTCGATGATGGTGAAGTAAGGAGTCAATGGTCGATGGTTGCCGGTGGACTCCAATCAATGATGGTCGTCGGTCACTGGTGACTATATATTAGAAAGAAAACGAGAAGAAGTAAGGCATGATCGCCGGTTATCAAAAATCAAGAAGAAAAAGAGGTAGGGAAAAACAAATGAAGAAGAAAAACACATAGTGGACTTTTAAGGGTATTCAAAAGATTGTTAGACTTATCCTCTTGTAAATAGAACTTCAAAATAATTTATCCTTTACTTTTTAATATGGGTTGACATAAAAAAATTCAAATCAATGGTTTATTTTATATGATTTTTCATGTATATTATTCATAACAAAAATTAAGTCGATTCATATTGATAAGTATATTTTCTAAAATAAATTATCTAAAAAATGTTAAATTGTTTAAAACAATAAGAAAATCGGTATTATTTGTTTAACATAAATTGTTCTACTTTTGAAATGACTTTTTATTTGTCAAATTGAGTTTCAATAATTATCGATTTATATAATTATCTCTTGTTGCACCGCGTGAGTTCAAACAATATTAGATTGACCAAATTGATATTTGAAGGATGCAACAAAAAAACAAAGGGCTTTCCTAGTTTTAAATCAGATTGAAAATGTATTGTCAAGGCATATTAAATTTATTTTTGATTCTCACTTTGATAATTTGAATCGTTCATATTTGAAGATTCGTCAAATATATCATATTTGTAAAAAATAAGTCGATCGAATAACGTAAACTGTCATTCGCATCAATTTTGTATAAAAAAATAGACGGAAAGAAAATAAACGATTTATATAAAATTAATTTGAATACATGATTTTTATTATCTAATTACCTTAATTTTTTGTAAAAAAAAATAAAATAGTTAACAAACTGATTTGAATTATAAAAATGAGATCCAAAAATAAATTCAATAGACTAGACTAGACGACGCAGTCCAATAATAAACTCAAGTCTAGTCATATGCATAGGATAAAAAAAGTGAATATTCAGAGGGTAAAAATGAAATCAACACAATATGCATATATACATGTCATCCACGTGGTAGAAGGTGAATGGTGAGGACCACTCATCCACAAATGCTCTGTACAGCATCTGATCTCTCCCCTCATTTGAAACCACAACTGTGGACCTTTCAGTCTACAAAACTAATTGACCCCACTAAGAGCCTAGCAATCAATGTAACGGTCCGCTCATTCAAAACGTTCATATAAATTCAAAATCGAACGCATTCACTCAGCAGCACTGCAAAAGGAAGAAAATCTCTCTCTCTCTCTCTCTCTCTCTCTCTGTGCAACTGAAAATGGCGGACACTCGATTAAACTCCAAGAACTGCGACTCCGAAACCCTAAATTCAAGCTCTTTTTCGCACAGAGTTCATGATTGTATCAAAGATTTGAAAATGATTGAACCTTGGGTTCAAAATGGAGATGCACTTTCAGGTCTACGGATCGAAGATTTTTACGATGGTGACGGTGACAATACAGATTTGGTGGATTCGGTATTGTGTATTTCGGGTTCAAGATTGATCCGAGCAGGGTTTAAGAAGAACAATTTCACAGGTTATTTTGCTTATTAATTTTGTGTTTTTACTATTTTCCGTTTGGTTGCTGAGAAAATGTAGGGGAAATGAAGGAACTTTAGAAAAGCTGGTGATTTGAATTCTTGTTTATGCTGTGTCGAAAGAAGTTGATATGGATCTGTTTATTCTTTCTTTTTCAACATCAGAACGATTTAAATTAATGCCATTCAATGTTTTATTTTGTTCTTTCTGTTTTCTTGGCAACCAAACAAAGGATTTAAACTATTTTCTATTTTCGTTTTCTACTTCATCCCTAAATTATCAACTTTAGTCCCTAAAGTTTCTAATTTTTGTTAATGTAGTCCAATTAAAAATAATTATACAGATTATATTACACAAACTCTTCAAAATAAATCAAATACCTGTGTTGGATAAGGGTATTACTTTTCCTCAGACATTTCTTATATAATTGTATTTAATACTACTGTTATATGTACATATTATTGTATAATTGCTATAAATGTCTTTTTGCTATAATAGTTATATGTACATATTATTGTATTTTATCTCACATACTTAATTAAAATTGTAAAAAGTTGACCTTTTTTTGCCGAGTCTGCATATCCTTAAATTTATGATTTGATGAATCCGGCCTCTAGATACATACCTGTATTCACCTGTACCCGAGTCCATGTAACATAGTATACAAATCAATAACAATTGAAGATGAACTTAGTGAAAAAGGGTTATTTTAGAATTTAAAACATTTAAATCGGAAAGAAGCACACATTTTTCTTATTATTTTGAACAAACTACACCTCACAACCAATTTAATAGTGTTTGTTTGTAAGATTTAAGTTGTTCAAATTATAAATTTATCCTTTCGCCCAGCAAATTAGCTTCAATGGTTATTGATTTGTATAATCGTTTTTAATTGGACAACAAAAATTAGAAACTTTAGGGACTAAACAGATGATGTTGGTAATTTAGGGATGAAGTGGAAAAAAATAGAAATAGTTTAGAGGATAAAAGTGAAATTAACCCTTTGTTTTTTAGTATATTAAGGAACTTTGTTTGAGTTTGATCTAAACTTGGGAGTATCTGCGGCTATGGTTAGGTTTTTTTATTTTTTATTTTTATCATTTTATATTTCTTGTCTATATTTTTTCTTCTATGTTTTAGCTTTACACAACATGGTTAATAAAAATAAATAAAATTATGCAACACCAAGGAGAAGTGATGGCTCAGCTTGAAGTTACTATAAGTTGAGTCCCACATGATGTGTGCGCCAAATTAATAAAAATATTAAAGATTTTTAAGATCTTTCATGAATTCTTCATGTTTCTATATAAAAAACATATGCATATATAATCAAATAATCAATGCATCACAATGCAATTAAGAGGAAGTAGAAAAAATAATACTCTAACGATTCTTGGTGATTGGTACCAAGAGTGTGAAACTTATTGTAATAAAACAAATTCTTGCCTAGACCCCAGTAAATCACGACTAATTTTTGGTTGGAATGGCAGGAAGTTTGTTGTGCCATGAAAGAATTTTTTGTGAAATTGGATTCTGAAACCATAATTATTATGCTTCAAAGCCAAATGATTTGGGGGAGGGGCTTGATTTTGAAATAGTATTTGATAGACTTCTTCATTCTTGGCTGCAGTTATACGGTTACAAAAGTTTTGTAGACATGACTGTTACAAAAGTTTGGTAGCAGTTGCAGAGTTTAGAAGTGCTGAGTTTCCATATTTTCCCAAGAAGTTAACAAAAATCAGATATACTAAACAGTAAAAAAATGTAATAACTCTGTTGAAAAAGGAAAAAGTGTTACACAACTTCATTTACTGGTTCATATACCAAAAAGTGTGCTGGCATTAGATAGTAGTATAGATATATGAGGAAGACAAGTAGTTGATTAAACGTTGTATGATTAAGATCTTTATTCTTTATGCTTTATATTAACAATTCGTTTATGAAGACATTGTAGTAGAAAACCTCTATTATGGCTAGTCAATTGTTTAGATGCACTAGAACTGCCCAACTGTCAGCTGTTGTTCCAGTAAATATAGTGAACATTTCATGTGTGGGACCCTGGGTGCATATACAAACCTTTATGCATATGTATTTTCTACTATATTGACTATTGAATATTCATTTTGTTTTCTTTTTGGACCAGATGACATTGTGAAATTTGTAAATGCTGGGGGCGGGTCTATGAATGAAGTAGGAGATACTGCTATTTTCATTATGCCTGATACTTCCTTTGAAGGAGGAGATGTCTTAAGAACTGATGAAGGGATAATTGATGGTGGTGATTTTGCTCCTCTTTATCAGTCAGCTCGGTTTGGAAATTTCTGTTACCGATTTGACAACCTCCCCCCTCGAGACTATTTCATTGATCTTCATTTTGTGGAAATAATAAACACAAATGGGCCTAAAGGGATGAGGATCTTTGATGTTTATATACAGGAAGAGAAGGCAAGAATTTTTTTTTTTCATGCTTATACTAGTGTTATTATTCTAATTTGTAAATTGGCTTTGAGAACTCTCTTTTGATGTGAAAATGTGGCAGGTTGTATCTGAACTTGACATCTATTCAATTGTTGGAGCCAATAAGCCGTTACAGTTGGTAGATGTTAGAGTTACTGTAGGGGAAGATGGGGTGATTGTGATAAGGTTTGAAGGAGTTAATGGAAGCCCAGTAGTTTGTGGGATTTGTATTAAGGGAGCACCAAAAGTACCTGGTATTTCTCACTTTCTCGAGTTTGATTTTCTTTATCAACCATCTAGACATGATAGTCATACTGGAAGTTAATGTGTTGTACTCTGTTGTGACTTGAACAAAGGTTCTCAGGTGAAACACAATGGTCTTGTGTGTAGTAATTGTGCTGCTGAGGTAGAAGTGACATCAGCTCAGGTTAGACTTGATTTAGAGTGAAGATCAATAACTTCTAAGTTTTTTAAATTGTCACTTATCCTGAATTCAAATTCATGTTATTTGCAGAATAAACATATTAGACTGAGATCTACAGCCAAGTACGAAAAAAAGATAGAGGAGCTGAGTACCCAGTGCCAGCTCAAGACAAAGGAATGCTATGAGGCCTGGATGTCCCTGACAGCTACAAATCAGGAGCTACAGAAGGTTAGGATGGAGCTTGACAACAAATCCTTCGAAAATCACTGTCTAGGTAAGGTGAAAGTCAGTCGTATGTGGTGAGAATTACTTATAAAAGAAGAGGAGAAGATTGTGTTCAAGATAGCTGTCATCATTTGATTTAAAACTTTTATTGTATCTGGGGTTCAGTGAAGGTCACATGATATTTGTGGTCCATTAGATGGATACTCTAAATTATCATTTTGACTGTAATGTCAAATTTTTTGATCATGGCTTATTTCATTCAGATCAAGCAAAGGCTATGCAAGCAGCAAAGTTGAGGGAAGTAACCAGTAGATTTGAACATAAAAGGAGGTTTTGGGAAGCAGCTATTGATGAATTAAAAAGAAATATTAAGGTAAATCTTACTTGTATAGTGGAAATTCTTTTTACAGCAGACCCATTTTTAGATTGGTTTGGAGACAGTTTTGGATAATTTTTATTGATTTATTGGCAGGTCATGAAAGAAGAGCATTCTCAGCTCTCCCTTGAAGCACATGATTGTGCTGATTCCGTTCCTGAATTGAATAAGATGATTTTGGCTGTTCAAGCACTGGGTAAGTGTTCATCACCATGTAACTTCAGTTGAGGGTGACCATTGGTTCAATGGTAAAACCTTGGTCTAATAACCTTGAGGTTATGGGTTCAAGTCTCAGGGCAACCATTTTGTGCATTATGCCAAAGGTTAAGTGTGTACCCAATTTTCCCCCTTCCAAACACACTTTAATGTGTACTAATTGGGTGTTGTTTTTATTTTTTTAAATTTGTAATTGCAGTTGCACAATGTGATGATCTTAAATTGAAGTACAGTGAGGAGCAAGTGAGGAGGAAGCAGCTTTATAATCAAATTCAGGAAGCAAAAGGTATATTCTAGTATTTATCTTAAGTGATTTGATTATGTGTTTTGCATTTGTCCTTTAAAAATTGGGTTGACTGAAGCTGCTTCTTTTTTGTTTTTTGCCAAATACGTATCAGGGAACATCAGGGTGTTTTGTAGGTGTCGTCCATTGAGTAAAGAGGAGGCATCATCTGGGTATGCTACAGTTGTAGATTTCAATGCAGCTAAGGATGGAGATCTTGGGATACTTACGGGTTGTTCCACAAAGAAATCATACAAATTTGATCGTGTGTACATGCCAAAGGATGATCAAGGTATCACCTGTGACTAGATTTTCTGAATTTGATAAGTATCTATATTTTTTATCATTATTAAGAGTACACGAACTGAAATTATTATTGCAAAGAATTCCCTATTTATTTGGTGTTACTAATATTTAACTTCTGGCTTTTACTCTTATTTTTCTGATATTCCAGCTCCTTTTTTACTTTTAAGCGATACTATGAATATACAATATACTTTATGGGGAAATTTGGCAAAGACCCCTCCATTGGGCCCTTCTTTGGTGAAAATGAATGACAACCTATAAAATTTTCCTTCATACTTGATGGAGGACACAAAAACATTTTTCTATTTATTTTTGGACAATCTTGCCCTTCCATATATACATGAGAGAGAGAGAGAGAGAGAGAGAGAGGAGAGGAAGTTACTAACGAGGTGTTCATGTTGAGCAGCCAGTGAGTTGTATCGATTTGGGCAAAGCTTGAGATGTCCATTGGGAAGCTCTGATTTGGGAACACCACTTCGAACATTCTATTTTTTTTTTTGCTTCGTTCCAAAGAGAGAAAATGTATGAGAGAGAGAGAGAGAGAGAGAGAGAAGTTCGAAAAGTTGAGAGTACAACAACATATGTGAGTTGTTATTCGAAAATTTCATCTCGAGTTGTTGTTGTTGCTCTTTTAATTTTTTTATTTATTTTTTATTGCCCTTTTCAAGAATGACAGTAAAGTTTTACTCTGGTAGTGTGTTCATGAGTTATTCCTTTTGTAATACAAACTTTACTGTGAAACAGAGTACTCCCACTGTCCCATATTGTTAGTCCTTTTTCTGCCTTTAGGATGTCCCAAAATATTAGTCCTATTTGAAAAGTAAAAATATTTAATTTTCCAAAATTAACATTTTTAAAATACATTAAAAATTAAAAAAGAGAAGGGCATTATTGGAATAAGTGCTTTTAAATTTAAATTCAAATGTAATGATTACATGGTCTCCTTAAAAAAGTTAAAAATTCTAAAAGGGACTATTAAATGGGATAGAGGGAGTAATATTTTACTGTGAATTAGAATAAAATGTTATTGTGAAACAGAGTAAAATGTCATTGTTTACGTCAATGACGGTAATTTTTTTATTTTTATTTTTTAAATAATTTCATAGTCAACCTGGATCTTGTTTGATAGATTTTGATAAGAAGATTCTAAAAATACTAATTTTATTAAAAACTAGATAAAAAATTATATCATTTTAAAGTTTTAAGATATTAAATTAGTCACTAAAGATATTTTGGTAATAGTGGTGTGTACTGGACTTCTCAAGAGAATTTTTTTTGTGCTTGTCCTTAATGCATGCATTAAAGTTTTATTAAGAGGTAGGGCTTTGACCACATCCCCCTATTTTATGCTTCTCATCTTGACTTGGAGTTGTCTTTTCTCATAACAGTTGATGTATTTGCGGATGCTTCACCTATGGTGACTTCAGTGTTAGATGGCTACAATGTTTGTATATTTGCATACGGCCAAACAGGGACAGGAAAGACTTTCACGATGGAGGGTACCGAGCAGAATCGAGGAGTTAATTATAGGACTTTGGAGCAGCTGTTTAAAATAGCTGAGGAGAGGAAAGATACCTTCGCATATAAAATATCTGTCAGTGTCCTTGAAGTTTACAATGAGCAAATCAGGGACTTGCTTGCCACCTCACCCACATCAAAGAAGTAAAATTTTAGTCTCATGCATTTCATTCAAATACTTCTAAAAACTTGGTCAAGTTGCTTTATATTGTTGTTGATTAGAATTTCGCTTTGCTGAACTCTCTACTTTGAAGAATGACTAGCCTTTGGTTTACATTCAATATCTTGATTAGGTTTTCCTTTTTATTTGGAACTTGAATGAATTACCAATCTGTATATGTGGATTTGTTTTTTCATGTTTTAGGTTGGAGATAAGGCAAGCTTCTGAGGGCGTTCATCGTGTACCAGGGATTGTGGAAGCCAGAGTTGAGAACATTAAAGAAGTTTGGGATGTTCTGCAGGCTGGAAGTAATGCAAGGGCTGTAGGATCAAATAATGTGAATGAGCATAGTAGCAGATCTCACTGGTGAATATGCTTGTATTTTCATTTTTTTTCTTTTTTTCATTTTTTTTTTTTTTTGAAAAAAACTGGAGGTTGTCCTTGTAGTCTCATTTTTCCCCCCCTCAATTTTGATAGCATGCTATGCATAATGGTTGGAGCAAAAAATTTGATAAATGGTGAGTGCACCCAGAGCAAGCTTTGGCTTGTGGATTTGGCAGGCAGTGAGAGGCTGGCGAAAACTGAAGCACAAGGTGACCGGCTGAAGGAAGCGCTGAACATCAATCGATCTCTTTCAGCTCTTGGGGATGTCATATCTGCTTTGGCATCAAAAAGCAACCATATACCATACAGGTCTACTTATGATAATGGGTCTTAAAAGACCAAAAATGTAAAAATTATGAGATGCTTTTCATCCATTTTATAACACTTTTCATGGATTTGATAAAACTTTTAACCTTTTTGCTATTTTCCAAAAGCACTTTTTATCTTGATTTTAAATGGTGCCCTGGGGCATTTGTTAGCATTTTCTTTATAATAATTATTGTATTCAGGCATTTCTTGCCAGTTTTTCCATCCTGATTCGAATCGTCCGTGAATTTGCAGAAACTCGAAGCTTACACACTTACTTCAAGATTCACTAGGTAAGTGACACAAAGCGGGTTTATTTATGAATAAGTGAAATATGCTAATCATTATAGATAAATCTTAGTGTACATATGAATTTCACAGAATGGGACAAGTGAGACAAACCCTTTCTGCACCACTAATCAGTATATGTGTGGAATAATATAGGCTCGTGTAACAACCTCTGCATGAACAACATAGCTGTGTTAGATTGTTTGATTAGTCAGGTTGGTTTCTATTACAAAGAAGTTTAAAGTTACTCTAAATCGGTAAAGACCTAAATTTACATGTTGCAGGGGGTGATTCCAAAACGCTGATGTTTGTGCAAATCAGCCCTTCAGAGCAGGATTTAGGTGAGACTGTAAGTTCTCTAAATTTTGCAAGTCGGGCTCGAGGGGTTGAGTTGAATCCTGCAAAAAAACAGATTGATATGGGCGAGGTTCAAAAGATGAAATCGCAGGTAAGCTAGTTGGATGACGAATCTTAATGCTCTTTTCCTTAATATTGAAAGATGACAATATCGTTTTTATTGTTAAGAAAATGAACGGCAAATCATTTTATTTCCCTCTGTTTTTGGCTACCTAAAGCTTGACAAAGTAAAGCAAGAATGCCGATCCAAAGACGAACTCTTAAGGAAGTCACAGGAGAACATTCAGAACATAGAAGACAAATTCAAAGGCAAGGACCAGATTTGCAGAAGCCAACAGGAAAAGCTTAAAGAACAAGAAAGCCAGCTTGAAACAAAAACCGAGTTATGCAGACAGATGGAGAAGCAACTTTTGCAACTTTCACAAGGAGTGAAGGGGAAGGAAGAAATTTGCTCGACTCTTCAGCAAAAGGTTGTTTATTGGATGAAAATTTTGATTGCATTTTTATCTTTGTTATATACACCTGAAAGTTGTCTTATTGTCTCAATTTTACGTCAAAGGTCAACGAGCTTCAGGACAAGCTAAGAGAATGTGAGCATTTGGGTTCCACAGCTCTCCAGCATAAGGTTTGTGCAGCCAAAATAACCTTATCTGCTTTACGTTCTGCAGATGTTTGTTAATTGTACTTGCATCATTTCTTCCAATAGTTGGTGAAACTAAGCAACAAATGAAAAATAATTTCTCTTTTCTGGTAAAGTAATGGCAGCAATGTAATGTTGCAAGCTGTTTGGTCACGCCAAATTGACAAATTCTAACATTATACTAATGAACAATAACAATTAACTATATTGACTTCTATAACTCTGAAATTTCTTGTTTCGTATGATTTGGGATTGTTCTTTTAGGAGATGGAGTTTCGCTATAAAAGTAAGCGAACAAAACATCCACTGAGAAAAGATGCTGACAACTCTTCTTTTGATTCCTTTTCTTATACAGTAGTTAACGTGCTGGAAATATGGGTGCAATACTAATTGATTCTCTTATGCTACAACAGACTGAAGAGCTTGAAAACAAATTGAAAAAGAGGACACAGGAGTTCGAGCTTCAGTCGGTGGTCCTTCAAGAAAAGGTCTTTTCATTGAACCATTTAACCCTAATTACTAAAATTGCTACCAAAACTAACACTTCTAAGGGGTGATTCAAATTCAAATTTTAATAGCATATTTACTTGTTTTCTACACTTATATCTTTAGCTATATCATCTTGTGGAAGCTCCCATATTTTTGCTCATTTGTCAGCCAATAAATTTTTTTCTAGTTTTTACTGCTAGAAAAACCATTGTTGATTATTTGTTTTTCTTTTTTTCCCCATTAACTATTAATTATCACCATTTGCTAACTATTCTTCCTACACAGGTTATCGAACTTGAAAACAAATTGAAATTGCAAAGATGCAACAAGGAATCTCAGTTACTTCATGAAAAGGTTCTTCCTACATCTGCAATGCTGATGAACAAATATTATCAGTACTTTGACATAACAATTATTAGTCACTTATTTTATGTCTAAATGTTTTGGCAGATTAAAGAACTTGAAGAAAAGTTGAGGAAGCAAGATGAAGCGTCAGAGAGTGAGCCGCCATTATTTTCTTCTGAAAAATCAAAATCAGCCACTGCGAATGATCAAAAAACTCCATCAACTGCAGAATTTACAATAGACAGAGATCTCCAGAGTCTGAGGAGCTTAAAATCCAGTAATCGCTCTGTGAGCCGAGGATCAGTATTGCTTAAAGGAACTGACTCCCTACGTGAGTTAAGGCGGAAACGTGAGGGGATTGAAAACAATTTCATGTTGCCTGCTCCCTCGATTGAGAAGAAGTTGATGGCAACAGAATCGAACAAGGCTGTTAGGCATATTGACCCGTCTAAAGCATTTGCAAGAGTTGCAAGAACTACAAAACCATTCCCAGCTGCTCAAAGGCCCTTTTCCAGTAAACAAGTCATAGGGATCAAGGAGAGAGATAACGGTACAAGAGTTTGGTTAAGATAGTGGATGGAAAAATGTCTTTTCCATGTAAAACCCATTCTTGAGTTGTTGTATTCATATATTGATTGATCTTTGTTCCACAATGCTTGAAGTGGCAATGTAATCTATCTTGATTTCTGAGCTTCACTAGAAATTTTATGCAAAAAGAATGTTTTTGTGCAATGTACTTGGAAGTCTTGTATAACATTCAGATCTTCCACGTAATCTAATTTTTTTTTACCACATTTTGTTTATCTCTAGCACACCTATTCATGCGTTTTAATGGTTGTGAATAAAATATAATAAGAAAATGTATTCTAGCATTATTAGATTTTAAATCCTCCATTACAAATTTTACGGATACTTTGAAATGTACAAACATTCATAAAAACATTTATAAAATTTGCCAATACAAATATTTTCAAATTTGTCAATACAAACAACACATTGAGATTGTTATCACAATCCATCTATATTGATACTTTCAGTAGATACTACATTAGGACTAACAAGTGTACGGAATTGATCAATATGGATAGTATATGTTTTCTTCTATCCATTAGCACAAGAGTAATGAAAACGAATTCACTTACTTACCTTCGGAGGTACTAGATGACTAGGAAATAGATAAATCTAACAAATCATCAACAATGCACTACTAGCTTTACTATAATGAATAGAAATATAATCATTCAAAGCAAAAATAACAAAAATGCCAAAAAAAAAAAAATTTGGAAATATTTAGAGTGAGTTACTAGATATGTACTTTTTGTTTGGTAGAAGGTTACTGTGTGATAACGGACTATTTGATTTTATTCGGTTCTGGTACACTAAACAAAAGTCAAACAATCATGTTCAAAAACAAAACGAAAACATAAAAATAAAGAAAAAAAACTCACAATTTCACTTTTTTGCTGGTCTTTGATCACCATTTATTCGTCCATTACTTTTTCTATGATCAAAATACTACGATTCTAATTTTTTTAAAGTACATGTATAGTAGAGAGGAAGAAATCAAAAAGGAAGAGAAAAAGTAGAGATTGAAGTGTAATGGGGTAAAGAGATAATCAAATCAATTTAATTTCTATCTTTTGTCTTTAAAGGTAATTTTAAACATGGGTAAAATTGAAAAAAAAAAAAAATCTTGAATAAAGAATAGAGTAATCCTATTTACATCACTAGTTTACCTCTTTACACCCTCCATCTCATTACACCACTAAAAAAATGTGATTCTCATTTCACCTATTATACTACCAAAACAAACCCTAAACTAAAACTCTTCAAAACCCTTTCAGTTTTGTCTCTTTACACCAATAACTTTTGGTAATACAATGCTAAAGAATTTAAATTACTTCATTGTCGTGTTACCACATAAACTAATTTTTTTCAACTATTTGTTGTCGTTTGATTGGATGATTTTACTTTATTTAACAAGAAATTAGTTAGAATCCATTTGTGATTTGTCTGTTCAGTGATACATTGTTATACAAATTAGATTACTCCAGTGCCATGTTGTCAAACTAAAACAAATTTGTCTAACCACCTGTCGTTGTACGTTTACAGATTACTCCAATGTCATGTTACCGACCTAAAATCAGTTTGTCCAGACATTTGTTGTTTTACGTGCATTGTAGATTGTCTTTATCGTTGTCACATTAAAGGCATCATTTCGCTTCAATGTAATCAATATCTCTTTTGTTCGTACCATACTCTTTGACACGTCAACTAACAAGAATGTTTCATCCTCAGATGATCTACCAGCATATTAGTGCCCTTCAAGATGTTCAGCAGCCTGATGATTGTACTTGTATTACTGCAATGAGTATAAGTATAATCCATCCAAGAAAAAAACAAAAAATATAAATAAAATTGAAAATGCAGGATAATCGAACAAATTAAAAATGTTTGGTCTTGGGTTATAGGAAATATATCTTTTATTCGGCAGTGGGTTACCAGACATATTTTTTGTTCGGCAATGTGATTTCGGATTATTTTATTTTGTTCGATTTTGACACACCGAACAAAAGTCGAAGAACTCTCTCAAAAAATGAAATGAAAACCTACCAAACAAATAAAAAAACTCACTATTTCATTTTTTTGATGGTTTTTCACTATTGTTTCTTCATCTATTGCTTTCTTCTGTAATCAAAATATTATGATTCTCACTTTTTGAAAATAGATGTGTAGTAGAGAAGAAAAACGTCTAAGAAAATAAGAGCAGTAGGGATTGAAGAGCAATGAGTGTAAGGAGATAATAAAATATATTTAATTTTAGTCTTTTATCTTTAAAAGTAATTTCACACATGGGTAAAATTGAAAAAAAAAATCTCATATAAAAGATGTAAAGAGGTAAACTAACGGTATAAGTAGAATTACTCTAAAGAATATAAAGAAATAAATGTGTTGTGTAAATAAAATTTCCGATAGAAAAAAAGGGTAAATTACAAATACACTTCCTGAGATATGCTTAAAGTACGAATTATCCCTTGTGGTTTAGAAAATTACAAATACCTCCCTATCAAAAATTTTTATTTAACAGAATTAATTGAAAAAGCAAAATTTCTAACCGTTCACTTATACAATAATAAAATTATCTGAATTATTAATTGAAATAAAATTTTAATATTATTAAAAACTGTTAATTAACTCGATAATTTATTAATAAAAAAATCCATTTGTTATAAAATTAGAAACCTTAAGGGGTATAATGTAATTTTTAAAATTACAAGAAATAATTTATAATTTTACTAAACCTTAAGAAATGTGTTTGTAATTTACCGTAGAAAAAACTCACAAGAGATTGGGACATTGTAAGATGCATTATGAGACCCACATTATTATGAGGTTCTATGATTCGTTCTTTCATCATTTTTGAACTTGATAAGATAATAAGTCTTTTGCTATTAAAATATCATTAGAAAAAAAAAAAAAAACTAGCGAAGTTTAGTTTATAATCAGCTCGATTAGATGCTTGGGCAACACATTACTCCAAAATCAAGACAATGAACAATGAGCATAGCATAAAATAACATCTCATATCTATCTTATTTTTTCACATTTTGGAATGAAAGACTAAAAAACAACTACCTTACCCATTTTTGTGCAATTTTTTTTTTTAATTTCAAAAATAACTTCTTAATATTTCTTATAAAGTGAATCATTTCTGATTATTTATTTATTTATTTATGAAAATCAATTTTAGAAAACAAAAGAACGACCATACAAAAACTTCTACACTTCTCGTCTCCTATCTTTTCTCTTTCATCTTATTTCACTTTAGAAATTCAAAATCTAAACACAACTCAAATTATTTCAATAGAAATTCTCCTATTTTATGCAATTTTTGTTTGTAATACATGTTACGCAATTTTGTGACAAAAGTAATAATGCTTTGGTAGAGTTATGATTACCAGAAAATTGCCACAAAAATGCATAACATGTAACATAAAATTGTGTAACAGGGTATCCGTAGTGCACGCCCTATAAAAAAATGTGCACTGAAGAGCTCTGAAGAGTAAATCTAAGTGCATAGCTGATTTTCACAAAATAGGATACAAATGTGAGATAAATGACAAGTCCAACATACAGTGACCCCGTTTGGTGTAGCTGTTAAAATAGCTTATAGATTATAACTTAATAGATTATAGATTATGACTTTAATTAGAAGTTGTTAATCTGTTTGGTGTAACTGTTGGATTATAGATTTAAGTTGCTGAGTAGTGTTTGTTAAATAAACTGTGAAATAACTTTTTCAATTAATTTTTATTTTTTATTTGTCTATATTTCTCATAAAAAATAATAATAATACTCTATAGTCCATTTGAGTCTTTTTTTATTTTTTAAAAAATAAAAAATAAAAAAATTTAAGAGTATAACCATAAATTAACATGTCCACAGCAGAAGCTGATAATCAGAAGTAAGGGGTGAGCAGCTTCTCAGAATCAGCTTTTTTGAGTTAAAATAAACGGTTAGAATCAGAAGCTGTTTGAAATAAGTTTAACCAAACAGTCCAAAATAACTTTTTCAAAGCTAAAAGTCATAAGTTCACTCTGAAAAGCTGAAACAAACACCCTCAGTAAACTCCATATGTCGGACCTACTCTCACATTTGTATCCCATTATGTAAAAATCGTCAATGTTCCTAACACAGCTGGAATAATCATGGTGCAACAACAGTACATGAACCAGATTGGTAGCAACAATAGATTCAGTAGATTCAGAACTAAAGAGGAAAGTATAAAGGCGGCAAATTGGCATAACAAAAAAACTGCCATAAGCATTTAACTTAGGGCCGGTATCTGTACAGTGTATATTAACATGTTATCAACTTGAAATATTCAAATGCAAAGACCTTTTACTTTGTAACTTACCTTTTTCATGACAACTTTTTGACATCATGATATTTATCTATACAAGTTACATCCTGCCACTGCAAATCAACCAAATCCGAACCCTTCGTTGGCTTCATGAATTGCAAGAAGCAGTCTCTCCTCTAGATGTTGTTTTGACGGATAATCTGGTAGGTCTAACTGGTTGAAACTGTATCACCAAAAGAAATAAATTCGATAAGCAGAGTCCCCTATGAACAGACAATTATCTACTAAGGCCCTGTTTGACAATTGCTAAATAAGCTTTCTTTTTGGCTAAAAAAGGCAAAAGTAAAAAGTCTGCTTGCTTTTTGTAACATAAATATGGTAGTTTCTCACAAAAACAAAAGGTTGAAAATACACAACTCTAACAAAAAAGGTTAATTTTTTAGAAATTGTAAAATGCATCGGCTTTTTAAGATTCTATAAAAGCAAAAAAGTAAAAAAGAACTACTAAAAAACAATGGCCAAACCGCACCTAAAAGGACAAAAACAAACCAAAACTACAGTATAGCCAATAGGCTTCAACTAAATATGCTCAGCAAGACAAAGTAACAATGGTTGGAATGTGAGGATACCAAGTATGAGCAGAAGGCAAGTGATCAGAGCTGCCGTAAGCCTTGTGAATCTGAAACTTTTGCGAGCCTGAGATCCCCTGTAGAGCGCTGAACCCTTCTAAAGGCACCTGCAGCAAGTACAGAACATTGCTTAAAAAATGGAATCACTCAGCACAGTATCGATCTCCTACCAACATATTTCATCATACTATGTACAAATAAACATGTGCCATGAGAAGAGACTTGAAGATTTTAGTTCCCAGAAAAAGATGACTGAGAGTTAACATAGACATAGGAAGTTTGCCTAATCAAGACGTGGACACGACCATACAGATATATATATATATATATATATGAAATTCTCTTGTTTGGTTGTGTCGGTTCTAAAAGTTAAGAGGATATTGGTTTAGTTATATATATACATCTCATGCAAATCGTGTTTTTTTTTTTTTTTTTTTTTTTAATAGGGAAAAAAAAAAAAATTTTTTTTAAATTAAAAAAAAAATAGAGAAATAGAGAGAGTACTAGGACAGAGATGAAAAAAACAAAGAAAAATAACAGAGACCAAGAGAGAGAGAGCGGGAGAAGAAAAGAAGACCAGTACAACCCAAATTAAAGAAGGCAGTTTGCAGTTGTAATTTACAAGATGCCAGCCTGGCTGGGCTTGCAGCATTAGCATTAACAAACATAACAAGAGAAGAATATGAGGTATAAAAATTGAATTGTGGTCTTCTACTTATAACTGAAATTAATTTTATTTTTTCTAGGAAGGAAGACATTATGCTTCTTTTATTGACAACCTTATTTAATGACAATTTTGTCTTTCAGAAATTTCTTTCTTAGAGTTGTGATCAGGTGCTTTGCTAACCTATTTTTCTGTCCAATAAGATGGCATATTTACAAGCAATGACAATACAAACTCAAACATGTTGATATATGTCTCCCATATGACTCATACAATTCTGAGGTGTCCCCCGAACAAGTACTTTCATATTTAGGGTTTATATACTTGAAACTTTGTTAAAATTCACTTTGAAGTGTCAGGTACATTCAGACTAAACGGATATAAAAATAATAATAATAAATTAAATTAAAAAGAAAAAAGCATACCTTTGAGGTGCCAGTCACAAACTGCAGAAGACGAGCCTTATCTTCCTTGCTGAAACTTTGAACCACTTCCCAAAACCACTGGATGACAGGAGATGCAGCACTGTACCCAGAATACTCAGTATTTGCTCTCATGTCGTCCACTGAAAGACATTAATATGAAATTCTTGTTAGAAAAGTGTCTTAATTTTTGTGGGCTTTGTTAAAATAAAAAAGTAAAATGATCAATTTAATAAAGGCGAACTCACAGTCAATATCCGGAAGCCCACTAATTAACAGTTCCAGTTCCTTGTCATTAAAAATTGATATCAAATCACGAGCTATTAGTTCACTGAAACCTTCCAAAAATGCATTTATTTGAGGACGGATAGCAGTATTTAACCGATGCGCAGCAACTAAATCAACATATTTATGCTTGTTTTCCTCAGTAACTCGAATGTTCCGTCCACCACGAATCAGTTCATAGTCAGTTACCTGCATTATGTAAATTTGTTTTAAATTTGATAAACAATGGTTGAAAAATATAATCATCTCATGGAATTGGGAGAGTTCATTACTTCTGTCCTCTCATATAATATTAGCTGCTCTTCATCAGCATCAATGCTAAAAGTGAGGTCCAGAATATCACTGATATCGTTCTGCAAAGGTAAACAAGACACTCAGCACAAATGTTTGTGGACCTTGCTCGGCAAAGGTAACAGTAATATACATCAAATGTATGTGTATGTGAGTGAGAAAGAGAGACACACCTCAAGCATCCACTTCAGATTTCTAAAGTAATGAGGATCTATAGCTTCAATGTCATGGTAAGTCACTTTAACCCCAAGGATATGCTTATAGAATGATCGAGTGAAATGAACATCAAGAAGTTGTCCATCAAAAAGTGCTTTCCCAACCTGAAACATATAGAGAAAGGCATAAGCAAAAAACATATAGTTAGCAACTCAACCAAACATGCATCAATGAAAGGTACTCACAACTCGCCCAACAAACTTAAAGTACGAGAGATGTTCAGTTTGGTAACCAGAGTTAGGATTTGGCTGAAATGTTGAGTCATTGCCAACAGTTGTAAATAGTAGCGCTCCCTTATCAAAAATAACCCTGGACAACAACTGATACCATTCCCTGGTAAGTCCACCTGCATCTATACCTTCCTCCCCTTGGAAATGAACAGTCAACCTCCCCTTCAAATCCTGCGACGACCTCATTCGCAGTTGATTGTATGAATCTTCAAGAATGTAAGCTCTTCTCACCGAAATCCTTAAAGGACTGGGATGATGATCGTGTTGGTGCTTTATCTTAGATCTGAAGTGAGCACGTTTGTTGTCAAAATCAATAAAGCGCGGAACCTTCAGCATGAGTGAGAAAGACTTCTCAAGCAAACCAGGGTTTTGCCGGATGAAAGCATTCAAGAGTTTCCTATGTTTCTCCGAGAACTTCACAAAAGCAAGGTGTTTTTCGTCTGATTGCGAAGCAGAGCCTGGAATTTTCTGCTGGCTAGAAGAAGTGGTGGCATCGTCAACATCAGAAACCGCAACAATACCCAAGTCCTGATTTGCACCCGACTGCTCAGGTTGCAACTTCTCACACATCACAAAGAAAGATTCTATGTATGGCAAGATATTCTGAGTACCAGCAGGAAGTGGAGGCATTCCACCAGAAGGTTTAACCGTGGAAATCACAGATTTATTTGCTAAATCAGGCGGGGAATCTGAACAGCTTTCTATTTTGCTTATGCAAGTGCTCAGCTCCAGCCACAAAGGCTCCAAAGCTGCACTGATGTTATATACCAGAGAAATAGCAGCAGTGTACTCCTTTTCAGAAAGAATCTGATGATCTTTCTCTTTCTCATTAATTGCAGCAACAAGTGAACTTAATGCCTGCAAGACTCTCAAAATTGCGGCACCATCAGATGAAGTAGTGGTTAGCAGTGCTTTTTCTGCTTCTCCAAATATGAGTAATTCATTCATTGCAGACTTGGTCAAATTTTGCACAGAATCAGCTAGCTCAGAGATAAGCAGATGACAGTGAATAGGAGCAATTGCAACCAACTTCCCCAATACCTCCGCTGCCAGAGTATATGCATTATCTGACAGGCTGGGGAGAAATGAAATATGAGACGGGGATAAAAGTGACAAAGGAAAAGGCTAAACAAATTAATACAAGAATTTTGGGAGTTCAATTTTCCCAGGAAGTCAATGACAATGGAAAATGGAGCAAAATGACCAAAAAACCGGGGAGAATTTCAAGGAAGACATACAATAAACAGCAAATTGTCCCAAAGCACACACAAAATTGATTCCCCTCATTAAGAAGTGCAGGAACCACATTGCAAGGACTCATGAGCACAGAATGTGCAGGTAAAAAATAAGTAAATAAAACAAAAATAAAGAAGAAAGTATTGACAAAATTTATCAGGAAAAGATATGGCTAGCATAGTGCCTAACATATCTAAATCTAGAACACAACACATAACTATCCAACGGGTTATTTCACATGCCAAATTCAACTTTTTCACAGCATAATTTTTTGGTAACACCGAATAAGCTTAAACAAACACAATCCTTGGAATCCAAAACAATATTAGAGTTGTAACAATAATCACAGATGCAAAAAATGTAACCACAATAAGTTACAACACAGCAAAAAGTCCATATTTCCTTAATGTCAGAACATCAATTCTTTCAGAAGTCTCCAGAAACAGAATATTAGTGGACTTATGCAGCTATGGAAGTGTTATGATGGCAAACTAAAACAGGACAACTGGAAACATGACACCTAGGGACAAGAAAAGCACAATGGTCATCAAGGCACATCAAAGTACTTCACTCTACACCTGGAGAAGGGAGTCACCAGTGCAGGTAAATTTGTCAGGCACATTTTCTGATGGGCTCAATGACCAAGAAAAGCACAACTCATTTATTCTCAAATCATTCAATAATTTTTTTTCCTTCTCCTTTGAAATGATAGTTGTGTCCTATCCATACATGATCTTAAGTGATCCACTACTTGAATTAGATCTGTCCAGTTCTTGATTCTAACATGTTCCACGATCATCTAACACAAGCTCTAAATCCATGACTGTAGCACTTAATTATTGCACATTGGCAATGATATTAGATTCAATTGAATGTATATGCAAAAGGAAAGCACACATAGGTTGAGGTAACCCCCTTTGTTGATAGCCAAAACAATCACCTTTCTTGTTTAATTTTATTTTTATTTTTATTCTACACGTACTGATTTTTCTTTATTTTACTTAGTTGAACAAATACAGAATGAAAGGGTACAAGTACAATAGTTTTGCTTCAACTCTTTAGTTGTTATGCCAAAAAAGCAACTTCCATGTTTTGTCACTAGTTTGTTTTATATTTGGAATTGTTTCAATTATGAGAATTCATTGTTTTCATTTCATCAACACGTGCCTCAAGTAACTCAGGTTTGAGCCTAGTGCTCACAGTTTAGGCTCTAAAAGACATCAGCGCCTTAGTATGCCTTGAGCCAATTATATAATAACTACAGGAACAAATTATGCCCTTGTGTAATTGCAAATAAATCAATAAAAGAGCAGACAATTAGAAAAAGTTGGGCTACAAAGTCCACCATACCCTTCTCGTGCAAGCAGTGAGCATAGAAGTCGAAGTTCTGCTTGTGGTAGGTTATGTAGTACAGTTTGAGTATCACACTTGGTGTTTGCACTAGAAGCAGAGGGTTTGGAGGAGCCATCAGGCTTCGATGATGTAATGTCAGAGCCAGAGGATATGACACTAGAGCCTGTATTTATCTCAGCATTTGACACAGAGATCTGAGGACCAGATGTTTGTTCCATGGGAGAAACTCCAGATTCATTAGGCAAACTAGACTTGCTTTCAGCATTATCAATGATTACCTCCAATAAACTTAGTAGCTGAAATAAGAAGCCCAATATGAAAAGAGGACCAGCAAAACTAAGATGAAAAGAGGACCAGCAAAACTGAAATAATAATTAATAAAGATAACCACAATAAAACTGTGTAATCATTACCTGTTCAAGATGTGCTATACTTCTCAAATAAAGGGGCTGGTTCAAAAGGCTCAAAAGCAAAGCAATGGAAAAATATCGTTCTTGATGGTACGTTTCTTCTATCACATCCTCTTCAAGAATCATCACAGCTTTGCCACGTGCCTTTTCAAGATTTTCTGATTCTTGTAGGTGTAGCTGAGGCAGCTTAACCTGAAGCAAAATCTTTGTCACATAAGGGTGATTTCGAGCCAAGTATGTCAGGGTCTCGAGAACACGCCGAGACACCAAAGGAGGGACACCTACAAAGAAAGAACAAGATACATGAAACTAAAAAGTACCTCAAAACAGCATCTAGGACTTAAAAATTGTGCTTTCCTTCAAAATGAAACTTCAAACTTAAGTGGGAGAATGAAAGAAAAGAATGAGAAACAGAAAGAAAAGAAAGGTTAAGAACACTCCAATTTCCAAATTGCAGTTATTGCATTAATTATTTTTTAAAATAATTAATCTAGGAGAATGGAAGTTTAAATCTTTAAAATAAATTGTCCACAGCTTGCCTGTGATGATCAATATTAATGGTTATAGTACATACAAACATTTTTTGGGAAATAGGTTAAAATTCTCAACTTTTAACCCATTTTGGGTCACATCATCTCCCACATTTTTTACACGTTTTTTCAAAAAAAGCCAAAAAGCTAGCTTTTAACCATCTTCCTAAAAAACCTAGTTATGGCAGAAGGCAGTTCATCTATTGAGCACATTTAACATCATTAAACTTGATGGCAACCACACTAGCATTCCTAAACACCCCCTTGGTGCCTTAATCATAATATATTTAACTAGTTAGAAAAGAAAGAAAAAAAAAAAGACATCCACATATTAAAAATATTCGGTATGTTTGGTTTCAGTTTTTTGAGTTCAGTTTTTTGGAAATCGAGTTTTTTGTTTTTCATATTTTTTGATTTTTTGTTTTTAGTGAATATTTTTAAAATTTTAAACAATTTTTTTTACTTTTTTAGATGCACCTTACTTAGAATGTATCTCAATAGTAAAATATTTGTAAAAAAATATTTAAAAAAATTAATAATTAATAAATACACAAAAATATGAAAAATGTACTGAATTTATATATATATATATATATTTTACATTTTTGGTATTTAGTGAATTTTAAAAAAAAAAATTCACAAATATTATATTTTTAAAGTGTATTTATGTTAGGTGTGTCTAAAAATTTTTAAAAAAAAAAATTCTTAAAATATTAAAAAAATTCAGTGAAAACAAAAAAAATACAAAAAACAAAAGAGTAAAATTTTTTGAAAAGTGTTTTCTTAAAACTCAAACCAAGCAAAGTGACTGGTTTTTAAGTTTCCATACTCCAGTGAACTTTTTAAATGGTGAACTATTAAGTATTCACAAGAGAATGTGACAAATAAAACATCCAGTTTTAACAATTTTTGACATCAACATTTTCCAAAGCAGGACTTGTCTTATGGTGCTGCACCTATTTAGATCAAACCATCTCATCACCTAAAGGAGCATTAAAGTGTTTGCAAGTGTTAATTGAACTAAATACACACTTGCTAAAGTACTAAATGGAAATGAGTTGCGGGCGGAGGTAGAAAGGTGTTGGCGAAGTTTGTTAAATGTTACAAATTAAAATACAAACCTGGCTTCATACTAGACCTCAGATTTGAGAATTGAAACAAAGAATAGATTGCAGTTGAACACCAATTAATAAGAGAGACAGGATTAGCGGTATTACCATCAAAAGATTGAGGCCGAGAATACATTACATGACTCTGGCAAGCATACAACCTGTAAGCCGGCTCAGAAGCAATCATATGATTGACAGGCTTCCTTATATCAAGCATCAACAAGTCCATCAGAATTTTCACCAGAGCAGTTCTGGTTTCATTATGTGAACATAAATTCAAGAGAAGCCTCTGCAGCTGACCTTTATAAAGTGGCTGCATGGATGATGTCAACGAAGATGTAGATCACAACGGACAATTTATAAAGAAGGAAGAAGCAATCACACCAAGTGAATACCTGAACGACACGAAGCAGTCGAACCATGGCTCTCAGAGCTTCTGTGTCAACCAAAGGAGCCCCTTCAGCTTCAACTGGCTTACTTCCCATAGACCTATGAGCAATCATTCCACCAGCTCTATCCAGGCTAGAGCCAATACCTTCACCTCGTCGAGAAGACTCACCCCTGCGGTTTCTAGGGTACATTCCAAAGAGTGTTCGATTGTAACGATTTGCAAATCGTTCACGCAACATGTTTGCCTCCGCAACAAGAGCAGGTGTGAGATTGGCAATAATATCATGAGAAGATGTCAAGAGAACCTAGAGATAAGGAAAAAAAAATTCAAGTAAAAAGGCCAGACATTGAACACAATGAGAAATACTCTTCAATAGTCAACATACCTCTTCTCGCAAATCTGATGGAAATGTTGCAATTATGGAGACAGTATCCATTTCAACAGGTTGACCTTCCAGTTCCTGTGATTGATGCAACCTTTGTGCCTGTTGTTGCGCAAGAACTTCTTCTCGGATGTCAGGTGGAAGAGCTGCAAGAAATTCTGGATCTATATCCCCAGCAGTTTGTGGTTCAGCATTTGAAGGCTGCGCCAATTGACTTTGTTGGGCAGAAAGAACTTCTGCACGCAACTCCTCAGGGAGCGCATCTAGGAATGCAGGGTCAATTGATCCAGAATCAGCATCACCATTCACCTGCTGCTCCTCCGCTTGACCACCCTGATCTGCTTCTTGGCTAGGATTTTCTGAAACTTCTGTTACACTATGAAGCGGTGCATCTCTGACACTTACTGGTGGAGAATTCCCAAAAGGCACATTCACTCTCCTTGTTCGAGCGTCTGCAGAACCTTGCCTCTCTCCACCATCATCATGGCCATCAGCACTTCCAATTTCAACATCCAGACTCCGAAGGCTCTCCCCCAACGTTGCACCACTTCCGCTGCTTTCTTGGCTCACTGCTTCAACATCCCGCACAGCAGCATCATTGTGTTCAAACTGCATTTCAACAGATTGAGAGTGCGCACTTGATGCATCGATTCCCAGGAGAGACTCATTTTCTGTAGGCCTCATATCAGCATTGCCAGAACTATCCATTGCTACAGAAGAGGGTGGAGGCACAAAATTGTTTTCACTGTTGCCATTGTTCTCAGCAGGAGTTTCAGGTGTCATCCCTGAAGATTCTTGTAACTGACTGACCTCACCTTTACTCTGAGGTCCCAATGGCGTCGTATTCTTATCAGAGGGCTTCTCAGGGACTGGCCATCGCAAATGTGAAACAATCAGATCTTCAAGCCCTTGGGGAACTGCAGATGAATTTGATCCACCTGTTTGCTGGTTATTGTCTGTCCACATATTGAATCGGTGTCCATGACGTCCATTCCTCAGTGACCGGAATATAGCATCCAGACGTGATGAGGTGTTCTCCAAATTCCTATCAGAATAGCCAACTTCACGGGTATTTTCTGAATAAAGAAAAAAATCAAAAAGAAGAGGGGGGAGAAGAAATAAAAAGAATTGGATATCAGATCTGCACAACAAAATCTTTCAAGATTACAAGGATAGATCATGAAGAACATGCAACCAAAATACCCAGGGTCAGATCATCAGAAGCTGTACAATAACTATAAATAGAAAAGCAATGAAACAACCAACCACCAAGTAGAGTTACCTGGTTGCCTGAGAGCAGCTGTGTGCAGTGATGAAGACGGTTCCACCAAAAGAGGATGCTGTGATGGGGAAGCATTGTCACCAGTTCTCCCCAAGAGATTGTAAATTGATGTAGTACGCCCTTGGCGTCTAGAGCCAAAAACTTCAACAGGCATCACATGAAGAGTTTCGTTGTTGAAGCTATTATCTCTACCAAAAACCTCAATATGGTCAAAAACGTTTATCCCATTGATTCCCTCCTCCAGCCTAAGTATTACCCCATCCTCTTCATCATCATCATCATCATCTTCATCCACCACCTCCTCATCAAACTCATCCTCATCAATTTCATGGTCATCTTGATCAGTGTCAGGATGCGGCAGGTGATGGACTTCATCTTCTTCCAGATCATTATGCTCCTCATCATCCTCATCTTCATCTTCGTCTTCATCTACATCATCTCCATCATCCGCTGACATTTCCTCATCATCATCCTCATCAACAAGATTTTCTTGGTCACGTGGTTGGATTGAAAACCTAATCTGCACAGTATCAAGTCCATTTTCAAGACCCTGCGTGCCCTCAGGAGTTTCATGCATATAGTCATCTTCGGCTGCTGGAGCAAAGCCTCCATCAAAATCTTGGTCGTGTTCCATATCATCAGTAACAGCTTCAGATCCACCATAGGTCTGGACAGTGTCAAAAGATTCAATGTGGTCAGGTCCCACAGAATTCTGATTATGTTGAGAACTAGTTTCCATGGACTGGGATATTTCACCAGTGTTATCTGCTCCTCCACGTTGACTCTGATCAGCGGGTTTAGTTGAATTTTCAGCTTTTCCAGTATTAGAATCAGCAGCATGGACATGTTCCTTGGTCACTATCTCAAGAACTTTAACAAGTCCTGTAACAACTTTGGGAGATTCAGCATGATCCAGGTCTACTACTTGGAGGGTACGGGTCAATGATGCTACCAGACCAACATCTATAAAAGTGGCAGAAGCTTCCGCTGAAATGTATGAACCTGTGGGTGTACGAGCAGCAACTACATCGTTGAGCAGATCAATTAAAGCTGGGATATCAGTGCCAGGTGCCCTAAAACCGATAGAAGAATCAACAAAATCATTAAACATATTACTGATCTCCACAAAAACTCTCTTCCTTCCCTCTGTAGAGCGAACACAAGATGCCACCAAAAACTGGCTAGCCCTGCTCGCTAGTTTGTGCTTCCAGTCAATATCTGTTTTCTTTTCCTTCTTTGAACTTCTAGAATATGGAAGAAACTTGTGAAGAATATGGTGAAAGATTCCGCCAGTGCAGTGACCAGTAGGACCGCGTTGAGGAGGGCCTCTGAAACTGCTTACTTCAGCATCTCGACGGAGAAGAACATGAATGGATGAAGAATACATCAAGAGAACCTCAGTCAAAAGCTTCAAAATGAATACAATTTTTGCCAATGATGCAGAAAGTTCCTGGTTATTGGCCTCAACCTCTTCAGATACAGAAACAATGGATTTCCCTTTCCCCTTGTTCCCAGTGATATCGATGTCCATGTCCTTTGGTAAGGAGGTATCCTTCGGCAAAGAGTCATCCTTCAAGGGAGGCACAAATGTTATAACTGAATCCAATAGAAGCTCAATCACATTTACAAAACTCTGAGGAGGTTTTCGATGAACTTTCACATTCTTCGAATTTATCTCAGGAAGTTTGCCATGGCCATTCACGGGACCTGATGAATTGATATTACCCAAAGCAACCTTCCCATCAGCAGTCTGTGCTTTGTCTTTCTCCACTGCTTTCTCCTTATCTTTTTCTTTCTCTTTGTATTTATCCTTGTCCCGATCTTTCAGCAGGGGTATTTTCTGAATAAAGAAAAAAATCAAAAAGAAGAGGGGGGAGAAGAAATGATCTTTCAGCAGGACAATGTACGGCCTTTCACCCACCATCTCAACTTGGCACACAGACTGAGCAGCCTGCATAAATATCACTGGATCCCGTGAGATGACAGAAGTCAAATTCAAAAGAAAATTGCGCGGGGTAAGTCTTCCATTGGATTGTCGGTTAGCAGCAGTCACAACACTGTGTCGTATCTCAGATTCCATTGCCAGCTGAAGAGTCTGGGGATCTTCCAGCATATGACGGATTATAGTAGCAGCAATATTGTCAAACCCAACAAACAGGCTACTTGTTGGCAAGGAAAGCAGCAAAGGTAAACCCCCAGCATCAAGAAAACTAACAGCAACAGAACGAGTTTTGGTGAGAGTAGAGCATAGCTGCAAAACAGCATGCATTGTTTCAGAAGGAAGCTGGTTCCTGATACAACCACAAGCAATATCAATAAGTCTCTTCTGTTCCTGTATACTAATATTCTTTGGAGACAATCCCAATGCTGACTGCAACTTGTTCTGCTTGTCTTCGTCAATTACTAAAGATGTCTGATGGCCACCAACATCATCCTTTTTTAATAGCTCTGCAATATTGGCATTCAACTTTTGATCTACTTGTGACAGCCGATCAATAGCAAGAAAAGCTGCTGTTACCCACTTTGGAACTTGGGATTTCTCCTTGTCAAATGAAGTAGAAACCCAATGTGAGAGTAAATCTGAGGCAACCTTCACCAGACCAGTCTTCGAGGCGACTTCTCGTGCCACAGCATCTTCATGAAAAATTAAAGCTAGAACATGAAAAAGAGCATAGAGCATGTTACCATTTCCACTATCGGAATCACAAAGCTTCACCTGCTCTATAACATAAGAAATAATGTTTGATCGGTATTGACCATTGTTTTGGGAGCATATCATAACCAGAAGATCCCGAACTGGAAAAGCTAGAGATTCTTTCATTTGTAAAAGCTTTGTACATGTCGATAACAAGTCATCAACAGGAGGGGGTTGAACCATCTCTTCTTCAATATGCTGACTAATTTCATCTGCAACATCTTCCTTTGTGTCTGGTCCAGAGTTCCCAAGTGACATGGCTAGTGCACGAGTGAGTTCATCATCTTCTTGGGCTTCCTCTGGATGCGAGAAAAGCCAGTCCGTAGCCAGCTCCACACTATTTGATCCAACCTGTCTCAAAGCTTCTTCTGCTCTAGACCTGGAAAACCCCATCTCCACAATTGTTGCTATAGTTGATTCATTTGGGGGAGGACCAGCGGCACGAGCCCCACCAGTGCTAGAAATGTTTTTCACTTCAACACCAGAATAAATATGTCGAATTATAGAAACAACTGTTGCAATGAAGTCGTAGCTGCAATCAGTAAACTGAGAGTGAGTCCAAACAGGTAGCACTGCCTTAAGCACCATAGACTGAAGGATCTTTACAAATGTCTCAGCATCCCGCGGAAACGAAATATCCCCATTTATTAAAGGTTGTGTGAGCAAGTGCTTTGTAAAAGGGGATAAAATAAGAGACGAAGTCACCAGGTGGTCCATAAGTTTACCATAGCTGGACAGGGGACCATAAATCCAAGCAATATCTGTTTCTTCTTTTACATCCTGCTTCAAAATCCCATCATCAGTTTCCATGGGAGAAGCAGGAGCCCTATTTACTGCAAAAAGCAACTGACTGGTAGCCTCAAATGTGGTCAAAACCGACTGAACAACCCCGCAGCCATATAAACAATTTAACAAAATAGGATTGCATGAATCTGGCTTGTCCAGTAAAATGACATCGATGAAATCAATAACCTTACCAAAGTAGCGGCACTTTGTTGATATAGAC